TTATTAAATAATTTTTAGATTGATTTAAAATTTAAATTTAATATTAAAATAAGAAAACGTTTTTTTACGCTTTTTAACGTTTAGGCCAAAACTCAACTTCTAGATTCGCCACACTTTACTCTTTTTAAAACATTCTTAAACTATTCAAACCGTATTTAAATTGATTGGTAATTGACAAATAAAAATTATGTTGAAAAAATATAAGGAGAATCAATAAATATTTTTTGAAAAAAACAAAATGAAAAGTTAAAATAGAGAGGATTATTTGAGTGCATAAAACTTTTGACTCTCTAAACTTAGATATGCTCTTTATTTGTAAAGAGTATCTTGGAGATGTCTTAGGAGGCTCTTCAAATTATCATTTTAGAATAGTTCTATGTAATTAATGCATTCAAAATATTTTAATTTTCGGCGATTCATATAAATAGTATATACAAAGAAAATGGAAAGGAATGATATAATAATTCGAAGAAAAGTTGGTGAAAATAATAGATAGAAAAAATAATAAATACATATTTGGAGAAATAAAATTAAGTGTTAAAGAAAAATGTTGTTAGAGTATTAAAAAATCTTTACTTTCTAAATTTATAGACACTCTAAATTATAAAATATTCACTTTATGGCTAAAATTGTATAATCAGATAAAATTCCCTTGTAAATGTTCACGAAAATATGTTTCGAATTAAAATAATCGCAAGTGTACGGTTTGTTAATAAGTAATAAAGTTGACTTTTTTGAGTCCGAGTATCGTCCCATGAAAATTGATTATTTCTAATTTTATAATCATGACCTTAACTGAAACAAAAATAAAATGAGTTGTTTATTACGATGAACTTCTTACTAAAATAATAATGCCTATACAATTATAAGTGATGGACTAAACGAAATACAATTTATTTTAAATGTACGTCGAAGTTTTCTTATGAATAACGATTGCACTAGGATCACGAATCCCCATGTAATATTCCTTTTAAACATAGTTCTACACTTTAACAACACGATTGAAATATTGACTAATTAATACTCATAAATTATTTAACAATCTCTCTCAAGTAAAGTCAAACATATTCTCATATATGATTCGACTAAATCTCTATGACGATGCGAACATATAAGAATGCATGTGTTTTTATGAGCACTTAAAGATTCACATATGGTATAGAGGTATATTTATATCCCCTATTGGTCCATATGATATTTATACCACGTCAAACATATTTCCCTTCTTTCGAATGCTTAAAATAAGTCACTACACTCATACAATTATGTGCACAATAATTATGGAGAAAATAAGATCATATAAACTATTCAAATATCCAAAACATGTTTTTGATGTCAAAAATTGTAAAACTAAGAATTAAAAATCATACTACATAATTCATCGATCTCCTAGTACATAATTAACATAGCCTAGCATAATGGAAAGAAGAAAATCAGAAAAACAATAAATGAACGACATAACCAATTCAATTCTTGAGATTAATATTCGTTTCGTGTTATTGTTCTTCGGGTTATTGCTCTTTTTCTCCTCTCNGAATCTTCAATTGAAATCTCGCGTATGTGCCTTCTTCCTTGCTCTTCAACGCCATTTTCTCTCTAGAGTTGCGTCCCCTCCCGTGTTCTGGTCGAGTTTGGTATATATAAGATCTCTAAAATCTTGTTACCAAAGTAGAGTTTCATTTGAAAAATGAAACAAAATTTTACCAAAAGTTTGTACCATGCGGTCGCATAGAAGAACATCTAACCATCAATATTGGCCTTGGAATGCATAATGCAGTCGCATCAAATTAGACCTATGCGGCCCCATAGGTATACGTTTTTTCTCACCGAACAGCATTCAGTATTTTGGCCATATCTTTCTCTTCCAATATCTGATTGAGGCGATTCAAAATGTATTAGAAAGATACATCAAAGAGTTACAAATCTTCTAGAAGTATAATATTTCCATTTGAACATTCACTATGCCAAAATGGTTCTCAAATTGAGACTGAAAATCCGAAGCATAACTTTTTCGACTGTAAGTTGATATATGATGGGACTTGGACTATATTTCATCCATTTGACTTCTTTTCTCATCCAATTGATGCCTAAAACTCTCAAATCTTCATCGTGAGGTTTGGCGTAACTTTTTAGTAATTGCATTTTAGTCCCCGAACTTTGTATTTGATATAATTGAGCTCTTTTTCGCTATCTTTATATTCTTTTCTCCAATTTTTCATCAAATATTGAATTTTACCTACAAAATAAAATATAAGTGTAGAAACTGCATTTATCAGTAAACATTGCCATAACCACATTGGCCAATTTAGCAAAACTGTGGAAATCATTTGTAGCCAATGACATTTCCTTAAAGGTGAAACTTCTAGCACCTTTTGTTTTTATTGAAAGCTTTGATAATGCAGCGTGAAATAAGAATAATATTATTTAGCATTGTTGGTGTTTAGCACAAGTCTAGGTGAAAACACTTGAAACATTATATTACATATACAACTAAATATAAAGATTTATGACCTATTTAATATAACCTATGATATGTTGACAAAATTGATATTCAACATGATTGGTGTTAGATAACATTACTCATGAAATAATAACTTCACTTCCCCAAAATATATTTCAAAGAAATTAAAGTTTTATTAATTTAAAACACTCGTATAGATATTTTTGAGGTAGTTCATAAGTCTCACTTATTGGAATGACTTATATTTCGAGGCAATTTGTAAGTCTTCACCCCATTTGAGATTGATACATATTTTCGATACAGTTCGTAAATCTCATTTAATGTATATACTCACGTTTTTGAGGCAATTTGTAAGACTTTGCCTATTTGACAACTTATATTTCGAAATTCAACCCGCACATGAAGTAAGATTCAGACTTAAGGTACTATTGTTACACCTATAAATTACATGGCATATGTATGACAGAAGGGGTCACATGTATGTCGACGTGACATCCACTATTTAATTGATTGTGCCTATTTAATTAAACAATTATATCTTGGGCTCGGTCCATTAATCACTTGGCACATTTCCATTTTCTTATATGTACGTGAGTTTTATTCACAATAAATTATGTTATTCTAACTTTAGCCAAACCCCCTCTCCTGTCTCTTGAACTCATTTTTCTTTCATTTGGCCGTTGATTGAATCGTCGATATGCAAACGATCATCAAAACATTAAAGAGCTGGCTGCCGGAAACGGAGCTATCCGAATGTTCCAGTATGCAGATAACGTCTACGTCAAGAGGAGGTAGTCGAGATTCTCTTTATGATAAACATCTTACAGATGTGGTGGTCAAAGAATTTAAAGCAGCCTGCTTTTACATTTTTTCCCCCCCTTCTCTTTTTGGGCATATTTCTTTTGTAATGCTTGTAACCGGTGGCTCGTTAGATACCCAAACAGTCCCGATTAGTTCTACAAGGAATTTTAACAATTATTTTAATAGTTGATTGCAGAATTATTTTTGAATTCTTGTAAAATATACCAGTTCATTGAATTTATAATACAAGTAGAGTTAATTTTGCATTTAAATTTGTTAAAAATAAAATATATAAGTTCTTGAGTATTTGTTTGAATTCAGACAAAATTTCGACCCAGTCAAAGAAATGAACATCTTTTATAAAATTCCCATAAAAGTGTTCAAATTTTCTTTTTTGAAAAACAACAAAATAAATCCTCGCCCTCACACCAATGAGCTTCAATGAAATTATTATCTTTTTCAAGGCATTTTATTCGTTGTTTGTTTGGTAGAAATTATACAAAATGAAAAATAATTTGTTTGAAAAATATGAAAAATCATGAATCTACATATAAAATTATTTTATTTCGAAAG